TTAATGATGATGTCGGTGTTCCTTCTCATTGCCCCCGCTGAACTCGATCTCCTTGTTACCGTATCGTCTCGTATCGTTGAGTACCGCAGTCCCTTTACTGTCAGCACCTTCATGGCTCTCCCGCGCAGTTGCCACAGCGCTGCACTCCCAACCGGCATCTGTCTGATATTCCGTGGTCACCCTGCACTCCAAACGAATCGATTATATGTAGCCTTAACATTATTTTGTTTCGATATCCCCTTTTTCCTTACTACTTACTCCTTCCTTTACAACAGTAGACGTTTTGCCAATCGAGGTGAATATGCGAGTTCAAGGAAGCAGTTTAGAAAACGAAGATGCGACCACTGGAACAAGAGTTTTGTTGTCCTGATGCAGAATCTTTAAGTATCCTCGACCGATTCCGAAAGGTCAGGAAACTAAAACCCTTGTTCCAGTGGTCGCATCTTCTTCTGAGTAGACATTTTATGTTACTGACCTGATTTTCGTCTTCATGCCCATATCTGTGCGTGCCTGAGGTGATTAACAACCCCGTTCAGTGTTACATCTGGATACCTGAACAGGCGATCTACTAGTTAAGGTGTTTGCCAACCCCTACATCCTCGACGACTCCAAGATCTGCTAATTCGATTACGTGCACGGCGGTGTAGCAAATGCGGCCTATGAATACTGCAACCCTGGTGACTTCATTACCCTTATCTCTGACTGTCTATGATGATGGGTTCGAGCGGGAATCCGAAACGTCCGGGTAATAGAAGGCATGTTCCAGCGATTGTACTTTCGTGAATGAAGGAAAAGTTTTGCGTTCTAGGTATCTGCCTGGATAAGGAAGAAGACTACGCCGAGGAAACTCAAAAGCCGAAAGGATGACACTTGAGGCATGGTACTCAGATGCCAACTCCGTCAACAGTCATCTAGACCTCCCCGTGACCTACAAATTCTTGCGCTATTATGTGAGCAAAGGACGGAACAAGGCCAAAACGAAAGTAAGAATTGCAAACGAAGAGGACCCCACGACGAACTGGCCAGATTAAGCGGCAGGGTCACCGAGTCCCTGTGCCGTGGAGGCAAGGCACTACACTAATTACTGTTTATGACCCCGAACAACAGCCGACTTCACTGACATTTAATTAGCGTATACTACTATAATTGCTCCCCCCACCCCGTCCTTTTTTGGCTGATGCTTCTTACCCCTTGACGCTCTGATGACAGCCGACAGTTGATTGGCCTATGGCCACTATAATTTCTCTCCTTTTGGTTGCTGCTTCTTATCTCTGAAGATGGACTCCTGTAAGAGTTCGAAAGCTCAGGACAATAAACCAATTGATCCGGTGCTCGACAAGTCTTCCTCCTTACCCATATACCTTCTTCTCCTTCTGATTTGAATTATTTGTTAAACTTCGCCAGACAAGTCACCTGCGTAGCCGCCTGACCATTTGTAGCACTAAAGGGCGTATGTTTTACCTCTTCACTCGAATCTTTCAGTGTGTGTCACCGAAAGACTAAATCTCGCCAACGTCCTGTTCTAAATATATCTACGCCATGGACAGGGTGTTAGTATGGCAGAAGACAGTTTTTGTCGATTGTCCATTCACGCAGCAGTGCCAGCATGGGTGTCTCTGCGCGGGCGTGCGTTCGCTCTAGAAAGGCGAAGGACGAAGCAACACTTGGCAGCAGCAGCAGCAGCATCTTTCTTCTGCGCCACAGGCTCTCTGGTGTGACGAAAAACGGCTTTGGTGACATTTATTGGTGGTCGTAGGCCATAATCGGCGATATTCTTAAGCTAAATCCTGATGGTGCCCAGCCTGTAGAACGTGCGTAGGCATGTACCTTCGAAAGGGCACCTCTGCCAGGAGGACTTTTTTTCAGCGTTTTCAGGTAATGTGTACTTAAGTGTCTCCCGTCTTGTGCGGGAATTGACAGAACAGTTTATTCCGAAGACTAGTTGGCGAACATGGGTGTACTTTCGATAAATTTATCCGCAGTACACTCAAAGGCTGTCTGGTGTTAGTTCCGCTGAAATTCATTTAGCTTAATTCAACGTCTTTCCTGTTTGCCAGCAGCAGATAGCACACTGATGCTCCCATATATAATAGAAAAATGTTTGTATTTTACAGCACCTTTACGTTGTGGATTGTTATCCAGAAATATTTTAAAGTACCGGCACAACTTAATTAAATCTCCACTTCTAGGCAATTCAGTTGACCCAATTAGGAAATATTTGCGGCCTCGTTGGGATTCGAATACACACAGCAGAGAAGGTTTTTATGCAGCCAACGCTCTACCATTGAGCTACGAGGCTCGCCGTGAATTTAATCACACTTGGGTCGATTTACCCGCCCAAACTACGGATCGTATGGAATCCCCCTAATGATTAAGTTAGCCTTGTACTCATTCTGATGGATTCTAAATGATTGCTTAGGAAATCCTGTCTTGGCAGCCAGCTTGCTCTATCCGATATGGCGAATTCCATACGATCAGTAGGGTGGGGGGAGGGGGTAAATCGACCCAGGTGTGATTAAATTCACGGCTCACGGTAAACGTCGTAGCTCAATGGTAGAGCATTGGCTGCGGAAAAGCCTTGATTGCTGTGTGGGTTCCATCACCACCGAGGCCGCGAATTTTCACAATTGGGTCAACTGAATTATTTAAATTTACCAATATCGCCCCCCTAACAATTCTAGACAATTATTACATTAATTTGAAGACATCTGGTGATTAAAAAGGCAGCCAATTAGGAAAATCAAACCATATATCATTTAATTCCGAGTTGTGGTCACAAGTTCAACATGAATAACTATCTGTTCTAATCTCAGATAAAAAATGTATTTAATGAGGATTGATTTACTCTGGCTCGACTACAAACTGTGTCTTGGTAACCACTGGATTGAATAGATCACATATATCGACTGAGCTCTGGGTATCCGACAGACAATGCGGGATTGGCTATTTAAATTTTTCAAATATGCTTCAACGTTAGCAACTCAAAGGCCGGCTGTCCCAAGGAAAATTTTTGAGCCAGCATAAATTCAGGTTCAGCTAGCCGATTTATGTGAATAAATGCCGATACACGTTCAACTAAAACAAAGTTCGGAACAGGCTGTTTTATACAAATGGCGACTGTTTCTTCGAAATTGACATGGAAGCAAATATTTTAGAAAATTCCTATCTAAAATTTTAAGAACTAAATTGGTGGGCATACGTTTGCTTCGGGTGAATTCTTATCAGGCCTGTAAATTTATATTGTAATTGAATTAATAAATCATGTGGGTTGGTCGAAAAGGTAGTGCGGTTGTCAGGGGCGTTGGGGGAGAATAGGGGTCAACAATCTGATCGGCGTCAGGAATGACTGGCAGCCTAGAAAAATGCTAAGCAGCTGGCTGTTGGATTAAAGATATTCGGTCATGGTAACTGTGGCGCCGTTACGAAGGTCTTTGAGTGCACGGAACACATCTGCGTAGACTGATAGCAGCCACTTCTGGTACAGCCAACAGACGCTTTCCTTGGAACATTTAATATCTCGCGGGCTCCTTGCCGATCACTCGGAAAGACTCTCTGGCAACCACGTGATGATATGAATCTACGATATGCGTTAGAATGGAATTGTTAATGCTCTATACTTGGCCCTTTCCTAACCATACTGGAAGATGTTATTGTACTCTCTTGGACAAATGCCAGCTCGCGCGACCAACATGGTCCGTCACACAGGTGAAGGTTAATAAATATAGATGCGCATAGAGGTGGGTCGGCAGTTTGTCCTTGATCTCTCCGTATAGGATGGGAGTAATCGAGAACAGTACTTAGACTTTGACTGCTGGAAAGGTGCTTGATGCAGCTTGACTCGGGCACCTTCTGAGAAGTTTGCTTGGCCCGTCTCGCTAAATTGGGACCCTGATGAAAATTCGCTTCTTGTCTGCTGTTAATTCAGACAGGGTTGGCAGTCTTTCAGCCATGTTCTTAGCAATAAATCGACTAAGATACCCATTTTGTCGAAAAACTCCTTCTACAACCTTAAGCTCTTCTTCGGTTCCATCGGTCAAACAAATCCTTTTCGTCCGTTGCTTCAAACATTGTACTAGATAACGTTTGATGTTTAATGGTACGAAACTGGC